CAGTTATGACGCTATATATCTCGAGCCAGGATTGTTAAATTGATCTATTTTATATCATTTCGTTGCAAATTAAATTATCTTTAAAATGATATATAATGGTTGGTGTTTTTCTTAAAAATAAATATTTATCAGGAATATCGGCTAGGAGGGGGGGGGCATCCTGTATGTACCCGCGACGAGAGGAATTTAGCCAAATGTAGTTATTAATTATAACTTGTTAAATATGTATTACAATACAAGTATACTATACAATTGAATTCGAGTTTATGTTGTCTTTTATAAATAACCGTCAATAATGTAAACCCTGCCTTCTTTTGCTACACAGGCTAAAATGTGGATGTAATCCCAACACAAGCTTCTAAACTTTGGGTCATATTAGCATCCTTGCTGCAAGAGTATATAGTATTTTAAGCATAAATGAAGTCCTTTGAAGAAGGATGCATATTATAGTCCTACCGAATGTTATCAAAATGTGTAATGTGAAACTTTCCAATTTTAATTTCAAGTCTTGAAAAGTAGTATTTGAGTGATTAAACTATATTTTCAATCTTGGCATGTTTTTTTTTAAAAGATATGAGAGTGATAAAATGTGGCATCTTGATAAAATGTGACATCTTGATCCCCAACTTCATTTCCTTTTTATATGCATTGATTTTACTATTGCCATATTTTATTTACTGCATAAATGTTGAATCAGATCATATACTCAGATTGTGGCATTGTTAAAGAATTTTTAGGAACACGTCACCAAGTTGGATTTATTTATGGTCTCCAATTTTTCAATTAAGGCGCCCCTCCCAGTTCCGTTGCCACATCTCCTAGCCCTGCGTACATTGGAAAAACAGGTTTATGAATGTCCTTTGATCATCTTCGCCTTTAAAAGCGGTTATTGCAAGTTAACCTTCAAGTTTAGGTTAGAGCAACAGAAACCTTGTGAATCAAGATGGCGTATGGTTGACGTGGCTTGGGTTTATTTAGTATGGAGGCATTTAAGGCAAGCCCATAGCCAGGGGGTTCGACCCCCCCCCCTGTCCAAAAACTATTTCAAAATCATAGTTTTTTACCATTCTGAACACTTTTCAAGTGATTTTGGCCACTTTCGGGCCAAAGTGTACCCCTTGAAATTGTTTTCAAAAAGTGAACCCCTCTTTGGCAAGTCCTGGCTACATGCCTGTATGGTCCGTGTGTTCTTTCGGTCATTTATAATGAAATTGCTTGACCAGTGCATGTATTAATGGAAACATCTCATTCCACGAACGATTTACAACTTTACATCTTTCATTTTTGCACAAAGGATGCCTATTGTACCTAGATTATTAACTGAGTGTTGATTCTTTAGAACATACGAACAACTAGAATATTCAGTGATCTACTTTTCAATTTGTAAAAATTCCAAAAGTGCACATTGACCATAAGGAAATAACATAATTTGAGTTGGTAAGATCAAGTCAAAGGAGAATCACAAATTAGTAAAAAATGATTTTATTTCATTTTAGCATAAATACAGTCTTCATTTACAATTTTTACAATATATTATAAATTATAAAATGGCATATATTAAAAGCTACATATTTACAATGAAAATGAAAAATATCTGCATCAACAAAGAATTAAAGTAAAAGCCGAAGAACATTGTAATCTGCAAGCATGTATTCAGGAGAAAAATGGAGAAAAGTGCAGAAATCATATGCAACAATAAGGTCCTAAAGGTAGCCATATTTTATCATGACCTTGACCTCTGTAGATGACCCTGACCTTGTGGTTGGTCATGTATATTTTGAAAATGAGTTATAATACCTCATATTAGAAGTATTGTACATCTATAAATACTATAACAAATATATCTGTTATAAACTGCAGTAAGGAGGATCGGCTCCCAAAGTGCAACATCATGTCAACATGATATTCTGTCCCATATATGGGCATGTGATGATACAAAATTCGGATTTAAATTCAGGCGCCATTTTTTTCATTTCAACATTTGAATTGTGAACTTGGTCTTATTTCATGACGAAAAATTCCAAAACTCACAAGAAATGATGGTTTGAATTTTTTAACTGTTAATTTTTAATTATACATGTACTGTAGTTGGTTATAATTTCAGAAAATAATGACATTTCTACATTTTTATTGTAGGAAAATATCAAGTTTGGATCCTGGGAGCCAATCCTCCTTGAAACTGCTAGATTAGATGCTATAGATTATGCACTTATTAATAAAATTATCCAAACAAAGTTGAAATATTGCTTGTAGTTATACAGATTCCTTACAATTTTTGAGAATATTGATTTCTAGGAAGGATTTTAATATTTAGCCTTAAAAAGCAAGTTCATACCTTGTTTCATTTCTTGTCCAAAATACAGGATTTTTAAGAACTGATCAACTAAAAAGTGTTATTTTACACATTACACATTGTGGATTGACTAACTTTATTTGTCAAGCTTTGTTTTCTGAAGAAACATAGGAAAAATTTGGCAAATGATCAACAACAAAGAAAGGGATTATGCAACACTGTTTTTCATGATATATAGAATTTAATATAATTATGTACATAGCAATATACCATAAGAAAGCCCATAACATTCAAGCATAAATAATATCAGCAACAATTATAAAACTTAACACATAGTCCTCGTGTTATTGCAATATAACATACATATCTGGATGTACATAGTACATATTGTACATATAGTACATATGGTACATATTGTACAGGGTGCCTATAAGTATCTTTAGAATTACAGTGCAAAATCTGTGTAAAGAGACTTTATGGACATCCTGTATATCTTACTTATATTTCTTATATGAATAACTGGAATTTTAATTTCCAGTTACAAATGGAATGGCTTTTTTGTTGAATAAATCACTGTGTGTAGAAGCACATCTTACTTTACCAAATCTGAAATTGAAAAAAACAAAAAAAACATACAGGGTGTGCCCAAAAAATAAATGCACTTTATATTCACGATACGGGGTGTCAATGAAGTCTCTTTATAATCAAAATAAAACGTTATGGACACCTTAGGGTAAATCTGTAAAGTCTCAATAAAAGTCTCTATAATTTGTAATTCATTTTATTACCTGAAAACTTAAAAAGTGTGTAATTTAGATTTAACACCCATAAAACATAACCAGTACTGCTTATCACATACATTGTTTTAAAATTTGTATTTTCTGTCCAATGGTTTATCAAATGTAAACAAAACCTGAAGTATTATAAAGACGGCTTGAACATTAAGAAAAGTGTACCCTTTTCTGGAACACCTTGTACTTGCGCATACAAATGATAACTTCAAATTCTTTAAAGATTTAAAGATATAGAACACATGAATAAAAAGGCACACTACATAGCATGAGCACTGAGCAGAATACTATATGAATATTTGTGAATTCATGATCATTGATGATTTAATCAATTTTGATGTATCATAATTCAGTTTTACTTATATTTGTATTCGATTTTATGAGACCCCCATAGGGGGAGGCTAGGAATTTTTGCAGTGAAATGCATAATTCTTGATAATTTGAATTTTGACAACATTTGATCTGCTATTACTGCTCTCGGGGCGGGAAAATATACTCTCAAGGATGCTTCTCAATAAGGAAATTTGACAGCCCAATTTTTGTTTTGTCAAAATTCCCACCCCTTCATGTGTGGGGTCTCACTCAAACCTGAATGAACATTGCTTTACTTCTATGTTTAGAATCTATAATCATGTTCAAAAATTGTCAAAAATGCATCAACTGCACCAGATTGAACGAACTACATACAAAACTAGTACAAACTTTTTTTGCTCAAGAAAGAGAATTAGAAACAGATTAGGCTGGTAAATGGTATCATAAAACAATAAACCCACATGTAAGAGAATGGCTCAGTTGAGTAAAACGCTCTAAAGGGATTCAAAGCTTCTTTCGGGGGGAGGTTAAGCTATATGTTTTTAAGAGAGTTTGTACATGAACACGTAATCTTATGTGGCACCATAGACTAAAAAGTATTGTACTGTTGTGTACAGTGATCCCTGTATGGCACTAAACTGAATGGTACCATACAGTATTTTGATTTAAGAGTGTGAATGGGGGGGGGGGTAATGTCCTTATTTAATCGACCATTGATCCACAAAGTCACTTTGTAAGCATATTTACTGAAAACTCCAGTACCACATTTTGTCAATGAGATTATAAAATTTTTCTAATATTCTCCAATGCAGATATCCACAGTGTTGGTCCACTGCTATTTCAGGTTGATGAAAATATTCTTGGAGAATGTCCTGTCAATCATTATGATTGGCATCTGTGCCCATATATGGAATATCAATGGAACACTTTTACATTACATGTACTTCTCTTCAGGAACTTAATCCAGAATGTGATTTCTTTCACTTAACCATACTTAGAATCTTGTAAAAAGCAGTAAAATCAACGCATGGTTGTAGTTGTTCCAGTTGAAGCTGAAATTCAGAGTGCAGGCAGCTCATTGGACTGTATCATACATCATATATGGCTGCTCTAGTTGAAAGCCCATGCTCGAACCACTTGATTTTATATATGTAGCAATATATTTCAAAGTTCATATATCCAATTTTAGAGTCTCTCTGCATACAAAAATCCTACAAAAGTCTAGTGTATCCATTTAGGTCAAAATTCACCTAGCACATTTGACCAAGTCATATATCTTATATAGCTACCTTACTCCAGCTTTCCAATTTTAAGATACTCCCTATTCAAGTAAACTGCTATATTACTAGTTGCACTTTCCCATTGTTCACTGCAATATAACTCCAGCATATACAACAGTATTATTTATGCTGAGTTTTTGATAAAAATTGGACGATTGTAAATCTCCGACATAAAATGGAAGTTGTATTGTCATAACAACATCCATTAACCAGTCTGTTAATCAGCAACAACAGGTAAATTTTCCATTTTGTGCATGGCTAAAACAATGCACCAATAATATCACATTTGGCACCATCTTGTATTCCACATCCTGGCATTTTCATATAAAGCACAGCACCATCTTGTATTCCACATCCTGGCATTTTCATATAAAGCACAGCGCCATCTATTCAATCCCAAATGTACTTGTCTCCTCAACTGCAGTTGAAAGTTTGTCAAAGAGCATCTCAAATGAGTTGTAGGCTGGTAGATCAATCCGATTAAAACAGGTATGTGCCCTGGAATAAGGATTTTTTAGTTTAAGTTTTCATTTATTTTAAATAGGTACAACATAAGTTACAGGGTCTACATCGAAGACTATTTGCCTTAACACAGTAATGTACGGTCTTGTATATCAATTTCACTTGAGCTGTTTTGGCTCAATCTAAGTGTTTTCATTTAAATTGACTTTTATTGGTTTTTAGTTTTTAGTGTTATTCAGGGTAATTTGAGATTTTCTAATGTTGCCTTTTGTGTATTGTAATGAAAAAACGTGCATATGGAAAACAACTTCACATATTTCAAGAGAAAAATGGCCAAATGAGAGAGATATACAAAAAATAAAAAAATCTTCTAAGAAGATTCATTGCACTTTAATCTTGAGCTCGCTCAAATCTATAATTCAAAGCTATGCTAAAAGTAGCTCTGAATGATCAACTATTACTACAGGTAATTTTACCTTGGTAAACTAGAAATCTTCCCCCATTTCTCGATGCAGAATTTCCTAGGCCCATTGCTACCCCGTAGTGCTGCAAACCCTTCATATGGGACACTGGATGACCCTGTAACAAATTGGAGCAGACGTAATCTGCGCTCACTGTCAAATCTCTCCACAGCCATCCAAAACCACTGAACAACAGGATGCATTTCATGGTAGCCTGGAAAATAGAAATGAAAATATTTTTCCCCTATTTATATCAGAATTCAATCAATTCATACAAGTATTAACAATTTTGTCTTTCGATCCACAACATGAACTTTATATCTAAGAATTTTGATATTTCCCTCGTCGGAAATGTTTAATTGGCGTAATATGCATTATCATATGTACAGTATACTACCATATTCTCTCTAATGAGTGCACAGTGCGGCTCTGCAGTTCCTTTATTCTATTCTCTGCATTAAATTTAATCATCAATCGATATCATGTTGTGTAAATAATCCTAACAAATGCATTTAACTTTGTGTTTTCTTGAGACCATATTTAACCTAAGTGTGCGCTCATTGGAACTGTGCGCTCATGAGGTAGAATGTGGTAATTAAAATGACAATATTCATGTATCTGAAATAAATGATAATAAAAACACTTCAATATTTTGAACTTCTATACACAAGTTAAAAGTACCAGTGAATTTACTTTCAACCTTGCTTATTAGGGAAAAACTTCGAGAGAACAATAAATGTAATTGTTAATATTATTACCTGAGCGATATTCAGTATGTTTCCTCCAATCAGCTGTATCGATCTCAGCGATTCCAGCTATTACAAGTTCTAGTTCTCTAGCATCAAACACCGACACTGATCTCGAGTCAATGACCTCATAAAACCCTCGGACAAGCGACTCGGTTTGTTCAACAACTCCACGTTCAACTCTCCACTTAACAACACGATCTATATAATCCTTTTTATTTTTTTCAGTCACTGGTATGTGTCGACCATTTGGTTTAAGGTCTCGTTCAGTTATTTGTCCGAATACTTCTTCATTTACGGAGAATGTTAAATCTAGTCCCATATCTGTGATGTCATTTTCTTTAATCCATAAAATACTTTGGTGGTATTCTGTGTCTATTGCCTCAACGTCACTTAGCGTGGTACCCCTGGAAAAATAATTAAACAGATTTTTTTACTTTTAACTGTATAACGGTATTTACAAAACATTGAAAATGGTCAAGAATGAAAGTGAATATTAGACTTTAGTACATATTCTGTACTGCATTGTCTTCAGGGCATCCTGACCTTGAAATGTGGTCAATATACTGACCCCTGGATCCAGGCATTAAAACTCCAAGATTTGACAAGAGCAATCTGATTAGTTAAAAGTATTTAAGCATGGTTGATATGATGTTCATGGCCGACTTGGCCATACTTACAATTTGAGAAGTGCCTTATAAAAAGGTCTTGTGAAGAAAGCATCTAACAGGTATTGATGTATCAGAGCCAGAGCTATCACACGTCCTGCGAATCTGAACCTGAAAAAGTCAAAAAGTTTTAAATTTGATTGTACATATATTTAGGCTAGAGTTATGAGCTTGATTGAAAATCAACAGAATCTACAACCAAAATTCATTCAAGTCAAATGTTGATGGCATTATCTGGCAGGGTCAATTTATAAATGTTGGCACCATCCTCATTTTTGAACTACAGTTATACTTGCACAGTGAAACACCTCTGCAAGTGGAACATTGCTCAAAATCCTGTTTAACTTATTTGGTGTCTTATTCTGTGAAATAAAACTAACGAGAAAGGATGAACTTATGCTTATAGCAATACATTTAAAGGGTTTGCTTCTTATAATTTGTTTGTTATTTCAAGTCCTACCCTTCCAAAATTTGACCATTTCTCAAGAACATATAATTAACTTTGAACTGCTTAAAATATTCTTCTGATTCCTTACCATTCGTGAGCATTCTCTACAAAGGCAGACATTGGGCTGACTTGCACTGTGTAAGTATCATTGGCTGAGTATTCAAATAAGCCATAGTATGGATTGAAGAGCTCTCTAGAAAGGAGGAAGAAAAATTCTCTCCCGGGTCCACCATAATCCAACCTGGAAATATAAAAATATAAATCAATATTCTAAATTGAATTATTTAGACTAGTGCTTTTATTCAAATGTTTTTCATAACATTTTATTTTCACAAGCTTTTATTTTCATAACATTTTATTTTCATAAGCTTTAATTATAATCCCACAGTAACCGACTAAATCTATTTTGATGATAATATGTCATGGGGATGAAATTTCTGAAATGACACTTCAATGTAATTATGAGGTTGACTAAAATACTGTTTATTTCCTATTTCATTCTACAACTGTCAATGTTAAAGACCCTGTGCAAAGCATGAAAATATCAAACTTTTATTGGGGCCTTTAATATCATACCCTTCTTCCCCCTTGAAGCTAATGAACAATTTGCTTCTTTGTAGTTCTTTCTTGCTGGTAGCCATTATCTTGTTGTAGGCGTCTTCTAGAACGTGGTCTCTTCTTACAGATAGCCTGGGGAATAATAAACATTATCATTATACCACTGTGTATCCTGACTTTTAATTGGCTGAGAGCTTAACCTTGTGACATATTCATTTTTTCAACAAGAAAATGCAGCAAACCCCTCGAGTCGAGGTCTCCAAGTCAAAAAGATGCCCGACCCTCTCATATATCTGTTGATTATCCCTGTTAATCCCTGTTTATAACTCATTCTAGAGCATGGCACTGAACGAACCTATTTGCATATTTGTTATTTGTTTAGTTGTTGGTTAGGTAACATGTTTATGACGTTACAAACGATGCGAAGAATCTTTAAACCACCGAAGTCTGTATTAATTGTTTGTTTAGTTGTTAATGTGGCAATACGTGTCACGGGTGATTGCGTCATATTCCAGTCACACCATTTTACGACATTGCATAATTTTAGCTTCATTTCACTTTATTTGAAAGACTTTTAAAAATATAATAATGAGTCAGTATTTTTTTTAAAAATATTTATGTTTGAATTTGAGGTCAACGTTTGAAAATTGATCAACTGATTTAAATCACAGCCTTCGATCGGCAGAGGAGACCTCGAAAAAATACAAAGTTTTACAGGTTTTGACAGAATTGGAGTCTAAGATATCTCAAAAATGGAATTGAAAAGTGTTAACATTTCAATGTGATCGCTCTTGAGAGGAGTTCATATAAATATATATATTCCATGTATATGAAAAATCAACATGGTCACTAATGCCTGGGTATTGTCAGACTTTGTTTCATGATTATATCAATATCATTTTTTTAAAACAAGGCATTTAAACATGCAAAATGTCACCACCTTCCATCCACAAAAAAATTGGAAACTATAACAATATGTCACCACTTATTGTGGTGACATAAAAAATTAAAACCTTAAAACAGTTTTATACTCACTTTACTTTTCCAGGACCTTGCCCATATCCTTTATTTTCTAGCTTTCTATGGAAGTTTCTCAATTTCGCTTGGAAGTCACGTTTATAAGGAGCAGGTACCCGTACATTTGCCCGCTGCAATGCTGGCGACCCCTGGGGGGACCCAAGGGGACTATTGTGTTGTTTAGAGACAGTGGCGAGATGAGGAGGTACGTATGACATTATCTCATTTTCGAACATACTGAAATGATATTAATATTACATAAAATGTTTTCTTGTTTTCACAACCTTTATTTTACTAAACAGGATGTTTAAAATAAAGGTTGTGAAAAGAAGAAAAAAAATATTTTTGTGATTTTATAATCCAACCTGAGGAACATGTTTAAGAATATTAATATTACAAAATATTAACAAAATTTTAATCCTTATAATCAAGATTTGGTTGACATTCACTAGTCAATAAAGCAAGCCATATGTGTTCAAATAAATTACAATAGTTAAGATATATATTTATTATTAAATATCTTTATTTTTTTTTATATGACAAAAAGAGCATAAATATATATACAAATATCAGCAGAATTAGCAGAAAAAAATTAGCAAAATACCTTAGCAGAACTATTAAGTCGACATCATTTGAAAGGCGTTCTAATCGTGGTTCGCCAAACTTGACAATTTTGGCAATTTTTGACTTCAGTGAACTATCATATCTGTACGTGGGATGCCGCTCAGACAGAATTTTCTCAATATTTGGCTGTTTTAGGAAAGCGACCACTCTTTCATTGTAAGCTGGAATAAAATAATATAATTCATTTATTTCAAATACAATTATAAGAACATGGTTTAATATTTAACAGAGTGATTTGGTTTAGTTACAAGTCATGAATTTTATTTTCCAGTACATTATAAAAGAAACTGATTGCAAATATGCATAATATGAAGAATAAAAACCCATGTATAGTAAAACCAAAATACTTTTAAAGTATCACCTATCAATTTTTCCAGACCAAACTTTGTTATCTCCTATTGTCCCACATATCAAGAAACTTTGAAATGTGAACACCTGCTAATGTGAACACCTTTGCCAGGTCCCAGTGGTGTTTGCATTAAACAGGTTTTTCCGTACTTGTAAATATATTGTGCAGCGTTCAATATACAATGCTTGTATTAATAATGATGATGACAAAACAACAACAAGGCACTAACATACAGAATGTCACCACCTGCCATTTGTTATAGATGACAACTGCTGAAGGCTGTTACAGACGCAGAATGCCAAATAACAAATTCCAAACACTAACCACCTTACACTTTCCACAAAAAAGTTGGAGACGATAATAACATGTCACAAAATCTTGTGGTGACATAATAACATGTCACCAATTCTTGTGGTTACATAATAACGTGTAACTTATTCTTGTGGTGACATAATAACATGTCACCAATTCTTGTGGTGACATAATAACATGTCACCAATTCTTGTGGTGACATAATAATTCTTGTGGTGACAAAATAGTACTTACTTGATGGAACAGCAGCTGTAGCTGAGGAGGCCGTTGCATCTGCATTGTTAGGCCTGGGTGGGGGTGTGGGTGCCATCCCTGGCATATCCCTCTCCCCAGCGCTACGGCTCCGTTGTCGCATCAAAGGCATCAAACTACCATTCTGCATAATCGGGACATCAACTGGTAATCGTGGATCGATAAACGTGGTACGTCTTTCTGTATGGTTGATGAAGAACGCTTTTCCAGAGCGGTCGTACTTCACCTCCCAACCCCTCGGTAGCTCCATGTTTGGGTCGGCAAACATATTTAAGAATCCGACAAGATCTCTGTTATGTTGATACCTTGAGAAAATATCAAAGCGGTTATATTTTACAATTGAAGTGGACAAGTGGAATGTGCAAGGTTAAAGTGGTTAACAGTCAAAAACAACACAATCACAGAAATCAACACAAGCCATTAACATGAAAAATTTTACCACCTGCCATTTGTTACAGACACAGAATGCCAAAAAATCGAATCTATACCAATATGTCACCACTTCTAGTGTTGGTGACATAAAAATGAGATGCTTTTTTGAGAGAATAATTCAACAGCACACTGAGTAAACAATCTCTTTTTTTGATTAATCTCAATTTTTATCTTAAATTAAATAAGTTCTTATTCATTTGTATGAACCTCGAAAATACATGTGTCTGCATATATTTTATTTCAGTGCCTTCAAACGACCTACCTTTGAAAGACTTGCGGATCTCGTCTTATTTTCGTCAGCATATGTTTTAATGTACTGTTTCTGTTATACTCTGCCATACTGTCCTATAGAAAATAATAAATATGAAAAAATCATTTTTGTGTTTCGTCAAAATTTTTGTAATGTAAAATTAATTACTTGTATGTAACCATAAAACACAGGAGGGGTCTCCCAAAGTTCAGTGTTGGTATTTGGTCAAGCGGTATCCATGTGATAGATCCATATAAGGCTTGTAGGACCATATAGGAATCCAACTTACTGTTGTCCACCATTTTGAATGTCATGTGATAAATCCATATGACGCCTATGAGGCTGCACCAACTTGAGGTTTTGGAAATATAATTGCACCCATTTGAAAACATATTTTCACAATTTGAAAATCATGAAAAATTGGCATATGCTGATGGTTTCTGAATAGGATCATAAATATGGTGTTTTGCACCCATTCGAAAAAAATTCGAAATAACTGGTTTTGACGGGTAAGGCGATAGGAACAAGAGACTGGCTATACGATTCAACAAACCTGAGCGTTCTGAATAAGTGAGAAGAGGTCGGGTCGAGTGAGAAACTTAATGGCCGGAAACTGCATCAAAGTACTGGAGTCTATGTTCCTCTGGGGTGAGGTTGTCGTACTGGTTGTGGGGGCGGGCTGTTCCGAGGACTGCGCTGGTGTGGCATGGTCTACAACACAAATATAAAATTACAGTAAAACCTGTTTATCTGAACATCTGTCTTATCTGCTGTATGTCTGAACATTTTTGGCTAATCCCAGTTGCATTTGGATTAGACAGGTTTTACTATATATTCACTACAAACAGTATATATAACTAAAGAAACACAAATTCAACAATTTGACTAATAGTATGTAACTTTTGTATGTAAAATTCATAAGAGCGATTTCATGAACTGTGAATGGAACTTTGAAGGGCATGTATTCCACCTATTTCTTAAAATTATATAAATTAATATAAAATTAAATGCACCTTCAACAAGGCAACATTTATCAAGATTAGTAAACTGACCTATAGGTGGCGTTCCACCAAGTTCATCAACTCGAGGTTGTGATGAGTCATTGATCGTGCGACGTATGCTCCGATACCTCCTGTCCAAATCTTCCCTTTGTTCACTGCTAATAGATGGCACTCTCCGTACAGCTTGCCCAGTTGGAGGCACCTGTTGGGCACGTGGTCGAGTCCATGTTGTTTGGCGGTTGATATGGTCAATGTAGAATTTGCGACCGTGACTATCTATTCGTACCTCCCAGCCTGTCATGAAAAATTAAAGTATTAATGTATAGGCTGTTTTTGCTTCTTGTTTCCCTTGTGGAACAATATAAATATATCCTGAGGAGAAAGTTTAGTTCTAAACTAACTTTGAATAGGTGACTGCCCCCAATGTTGATGGAGTCACACCCCGGGAAGTAAATCAATTAAAAATCACCAAGTTGACATTTTCTCAATGAAAGATGTTTCAATAAATATAGGTTATATACTATGGGTTTATTCCAAGGGACAATATGGTATTGACAGAAGGGTAATATGATATTGACCGAGGGAGCGCAGCGACTGAGTGTCAATATGATGTTGCCCAAGGTCAATATCATATTTTCCGATGAATAAAAGCAATATTCAATCAGAAATAACCTATTTATTCCATAAAACATCCCTCTAAAATGTTATATTTGGATAATGGAAACATTATATCAATAAATGCACATTGTTTGAAGTTAAATCTTATCAATTAGTCATTGTTAAAAATAACAGGGAAACCAAAAATAGGTTAATACGCTCCAATACAATTTTTCCCAGGGACAATACGATTTTTTCATGTAATACGCTCCAATACGATTTTTTACCGGGGACAATACGGTTTTTCCATGTAATACGATTCAATACGATTTTTATTCCTTCATATTTCCCTGGGAAAACAATAGCATTATGGAATAATGTTTCATATTGGTCAATTCTGGGTCAAAGATGACTTCTGAGGAAATGACAATAAATAGAAAATCATACTTCTGGTGACAAAAACTGTGGTTGACTTAGTGAGTTCAGAGGTTTTACTTGGACTTAAAGTGTATTTTTAGAAGCGAATTCAAATGGAAGGTAGTATAAATGCGTCATTCACATATCATTTTTCCTTCGATCATTTTTGAATTATATTAACATTAGCTATATTAACCTTATGAGTCACATTCATGAAAGTGGAAAAAATCATTAATTATTCAATCATTTCTAGCCATAAGTGAGGCAAAAAATTAGTTTCCAACATATCATAGAGCAGACCTGCCACCATTAATGGTAACATTCTATGTGGAAAGCTTTTAAACTGATAACATTTGCATTGCAGGTCTGTAGCCAGGGGGGGGGGGGTTCAGTGGGTTTGGGGGAAACCCCTGGCCAAAATTTCTTTCAAAAGCATGCAGTTTTTCATCATTCTGACTATTTTTTGAGTGATTTTTGGCCAAATTTGCCAAAGTGAACCCCCCCTAGAATTTTTTGTAAAAATGACCCCCCCTTGGAAAATTCTAGCTATGGGCCTGCATTGCCACTGCATATTTCAAATACAAATTCTGGAAAAGCTTATGTTGTAGCACATAGAATGCATAGTTTCTGTTGGCATGGTAGCATCTAGGGTACTAAGTTGCTATGGTAGCATCCAAAATTCAAAGTTGTCATGTCAGCATTCAGGATGCCAGTTTTGCATGGTAGTGTTTGTTTGTATATTATAAAACCAACTGTTATGCTGTGTTAAATGTTATGATCTCATGCTGAAGTAATTTCATCATCAAAACATTAATTACATCTGTGGCATTCAGTTCTGAATGTACACCTTACCCTTTTGAATAGCTGAAAAGAAAGCTTCAGGTGCACTCTTAGAATAAGTGCTTATTCTTTGATGTAAGAGTGTGTAAGATTCTCTCCTATGACAAGAAAGGCTTACCTGGGGGTAAGGGCTCCTCTCCCGGCAGGGGGTCGACACGCTGGAAGGCAATCTGTCTAGCATGATGGGAACTTCGTCTACTGGATGTAGGGGTAGAACCACTTCCTGTCCCTGTACCTGTTGTCGCGGCAACTGTCCCATTTGGAAGTCGTGATTGGCTGTTACCTGGAGGTAGAAAAAACAACAAATAATTATTTTAATTCATAAATTTACCATAGAACCATGGTTTTATTAAGTCATATTTTTTCGTAAAATCATACTAGTTAAACCTGTATAGATGTAGACCTCTTCTATAAGAACACTTTTTGGTTCTCTAAATCTGGCATTAAAACTTCCATGTTAAAAAACACAAAATGTGAACAACTGCAAGTCTTAACACTTCTTTTTTGAATCTTTTTTGAGGGGTTGTGGGTTCGATCCCCACTGGGGTGGACTGACTTTTTCACCTCAGCCCTTAGCACAGGATTTCATTCTGTGTTTTCATTAACTAATAAATATGAATCTGCAAGTTATACTTTCCAGTCTCATATATGACCTTGAGAACTTGTTTCCTATGCTGTTCACTAACTGTATCTTTTTGATGATTTCAATGAGCTTCTGTTGCCAGGAAAATTTGAAAGACAACAATATCTAACTAATGAATAAGAGTTGCCATGCCAAGAAAGACAAGAATACTGTCAGTGAATAATTGTTGCCATGGTACCCTAACTTCTTTGTTGAACCAATCGTTCTTATGTGAATCATGAATCACTCTAATCTAATTTCTTCTGTCAGACTCAAATCAAATCCAATGAAGCTAGGGAGTCAAGAAAATAAATGCAATGATTATTTTCAATTTATATTTTTGTACTTCAACTTTGATAAGCCAGATAGCAATTATGATAAATAAATTCCTTACACATGTGATGTTTACCTTTTAGGCTCAACAAAATAATTCTATTCTAACTATGTAAGTAAATTATTAAACAAATGAATGCAATTGAAAACAAGGCATAAATATGCAAAATGGCACCCCTGCCATTTGTTACAGATGCCAAATGCAGACTATCAAATGCCTAACACTGAACACCATCCACAAAAAAAGTTTGAAACAGTTACAATTTGTTACCGCTTCTGGTTGTACGTAATAAGCTGTCTACCAAAAAGTAGAAAGGTAAATATAATCTATAGTTCTATTATAATCCCAGATATAAAACCTGTATATCTGAACACCTCTCTTATCCAAACACTTCTCAATACGAACACTTTTTCTTGGTCCAAATTATCTCCTATTGACTCACATATTACAAAAACTTGAAATGTGAATACCTGCTAAACCAAACACTCTGACTTGTCCTAGAGGTGTTCGCATTAGACACGTTTAATGTATATTTAACAGTATCATTGTGTATAATGGCAACTCTATCAGAAATTGCTTGTCCATGAAGTAAGAAAGATGTGTATGTATCAGAATCCTTCATAATCAGGCTAATGGGCTATAGTTTGGACATTTCTGCTTCTTCAACTTCTTAATTGACGAGATATTTGACGAGATTTGTTTTGTCAATAAAAAGTAAAATATATTGGACCAAGGATGGAGTATCAGATTGAGTAAGATGTAACAAAATAACGAGATTTTCTAAACGATTCAACGATCGCTATGAATCATTCAATTTCGATCCACAAGAATCTTAAACCAAGTGGAAAAGAGTCTAGAGCCATCGAAGGCGATAACTCTTCAAGAACTTTATTGACTTATCTGTATAAGGACACCAATATCGGTAAAGTAGCCATATCACCCTATGCAGACAGAGCCTGTGGGAAATATGGGGTGCGGCGCAAATGAGCGGAGGGTGCGGAGCTAACGGTCATTTTTGAATTTAAAATTGGGATATTTCTGTAACTAAGCCGTTTTGGGACTTCAAATATACCAAGATATGTGTATTTGACACCAAATATCAATAAAATTGTGAAAATAGTAGTGCAATTCATTTTATAGCGACGCAGTATGCCTTAAACATTTCCCAGACCTATATATTTTGAGACTATCCTTTTAATACTGCGTCCCCAGCATTCATAAAAAATGGTGTTCAAGATACACTACCCATGCAAATTATTTTTGCATCTTGGAAGCCAGGCAGTATCTGTGTGATTTTATAAAAATTCGGAAATGTTCTTCAGATATGAGCCCCTCTAAATATTAGGCGCGGAGCTACGTTTATGGAGCTGCTCCGCACCCAATATTTAGAAGGGCTCATATCTGAAGAACATTTCCGAATTTTTATAAAATTACACAGATACTGCCTGGCTTCCAAGATGCAAAAATAATTTGTATAGATAGTGCACCTTGAACACCATTTTTTATGAATGCTTGGGACTCAGTATTAAAAGGATAATTTCAAAATATATAGGTCTGGGAAAGGTTTAAGGCACACTGCGTCGCTATAGAATGAATTGCGCTACTATTTTCACAATTGTATTGATATTTGGTGTCAAATACACATATCTTGGTATATTTGAAGTCCCAAAACGGCTTAGTTTCAGAAATATCCCAAATTTGAATTCAAAAATAACCGTTAGCTCCGCACCCTCCGCTCATTTGCTCCGCACCCAATATTTCCCTCAGGCTCTGTCTGCATAGGGTGCATATAGAATATGATAAAACGTTTACAAGGATGATTAATGCGTACCAGAGGCACCAGAGAGATGACCCTAATCAGAGGTTAGAAAATTGATTTTCTTTCTAATACAAATTAGTCTGATGCGCTTTTGGAAGGAAGAACTTAACGAAGAGAATTGGCATTGTCCTGTGAGAAAAGTTTCAGAGTTGCAGTGTTTTTAAATTGTGAATATGGTTGGAAAAGAGTGGAATTAGCAAGAAATGAAGTAAATAGGCATGAAATAAACACTCTTAATTGTATAGAATTGCAAGAAAATTAGACAGTTTATTCAAATTTTAGAGAATAATGAGTTGAATTAGCAAGCAATGAAGTAAATGGACATGTAGTTAACACTCTAAATTATAAAGAAATGAAAGAAATACAGATACTTCATTCAAATTTTTGAGAATAAAGAGTTGAATTAGCAAGCAATGAAGTAAATGGGCATGTAGTTAACACTCTAAATTATAAAGAAACGTAAGAAATACAGATACTTCATTCAAATTTTAGAGAGAAATGAGTTGAATTAGCAAGCAATGAAGTAAATTGGCATGTAGTTAACACTCTTAATTATAAAGAAATGAAAGAAATCAAGATACTTCATTCAAATTTTAGAGAATAATGAGTTGAATTAGCAAGCAATGAAGTAAATGGGCATGAAGTTAACACTCTAAATTATAAAGAAATGAAAGAAATCAAGATACTTCATTCAAATTTTAGAGAATAATGAGTTGAATTAGCAAGCAATGAAGTAAATGGGCATGTAGTTAACACTCTAAATTATAAAGAAACGTAAGAAATACAGATACTTCATTCAAATTTTAGAGAATAATGAGTTGAATTAGCAAGCAATGAAGTAAATGGGCATGTAGTTAACACTCTAAATTATAAAGAAATGTAAGAAATACAGACACTTCATTCAAATTTTAGAGAATAATGAGTTGAAATAGCAAGCAATGAAGTAAATGGGCATGTAGTTAACACTCTAAATTATAAAGAAATGTAAGAAATACAGACACTTCATTCAAATTTTAGAGAATAATGAGTTGAATTAGCAAGCAATGAAGTAAATGGGCATGTAGTTAACACTCTTAATTATAAAGAAATGAAAGAAATACAGATACTTCATTCAAATTTTAGAGAATAATGAGTTGAATTAGCAAGCAAAGAAGTAAATGGGCATGTAGTTAACACTCTAAATTATAAAGAAATGAAAGAAATACTGATACTTCATTCAAATTTTAGAGAATAATGAGGTAACTCGATCACCGCTAAATTGTAAAGAAACATAAGACAATAAACTGTCTAATTTGTATTCAATAAAACCTGACTTATTTGTATACAACAAAAACTGACTAATTTGTATACAATAACCTAAAGCCCCCAGAGGAATCATCAGACATTTTGACTATTTGGTTTACCCACAATAGCTTGTGAGATGCTAACTAAAATAAAACCTATAAATACAAACACCTCTCTAATCTGAACACCTCTCAATGAGAACACTTTTCTCAGTCTCATTTTGTTATCTTCCATTGACTCACACATTCAGGAAACTTAAAATGTGAACACCTGCTTATCTGAACACTTGGCCAGTCCCAGTAGTGTTCACATTAGAGAAACTTAAAATGTGAACACCTGCTTATCTGAACACTTGGCCAGTCCCAGTAGTGTTCACATTAGAGAAACTTAAAATGTGAACACCTGCTTATCTGAACACTTGGCCAGTCCTAGTAGTGTTCACATTAGAGAAACTTAAAATGTGAACACCTGCTTATCTGAATACTTGGCCAGTCCCAGAAGTGTTCACATTAGACAGGTTTTACTGTAATACTGTATGAGTAATCTCTTTGACTGCATCTTTTGCGAATTAATTTGCGGTTCAGTGAATATCTATAGTAATCCTAAATGGGTGAAGTGACCTTTCAGAGACAGCTAGAATTCATTCATTGAAATTAGAATATGTATACAATAATAGACTATTATTCCTCCGTGCGCGCTTTTGCCAATTAATTTGTGGTCGAGTTAATATCTCTCTATATATTTATATATATATATTCATATATTTATTATATATTTATTTATATATTTATCTATATATTTATCAATATAATAAATTAAATGTTTACTAAGTAACCTACATTATTTGATTATTGCGTCAAGCTGTCATTCTTTTGTTCAAAATGTTTATAAAATAATAATCAATTGTCTGGAGTAATGTTACAAAATGATGCACCTGCCATAATTATGAGTACTTCATTATTTGAAAATATTACAGGTTGATTGTATGGAATATATTACAGGTTGATTGTATGGAAAATATTACAGGTTGATTGCATGGAAAATATTACAGGTTGATTGTACGGATAATATTACAGGTTGATTGCATGGATAATATTACAGGTTGATTGTATGGATAATATTACAGGTTGATTGTATGGAAAATATTACAGGTTGATTGTATGGATAATATTACAGGCTGATTGTATGGATAATATTACAGGTTGATTGTATGGATAATATTACAGGTTGATTATATGGAAAATATTACAGGTTGATTGTATGGAAAATATTACAGGTTGATTGTATGGAAAATATTACAGGTTGATTGTATGGAAAAATCTGAATATATGAACACATCTGATATCTAAAGGGTTTGCAATAAGAACACTTTATCAAAGTTCCAATTTTGTAATCTCCCATTTTTAATTGTTAAAGAACCTTAAAATGTGAGCATGTGCATACTGAAACACTTTTGACCAAAACTCATGTTGTTCAGATAAAAATAGGTTTTACTGTACTGTATTGGGGAACACTGTAACCTACAATTAATCAAAAATTGTGCTTTATTTACATTTATAGCAATTCTGCTACAGTAAAACCTGTCTTATCTGAATACCACTGGGGCTGGCCAAAAGTGTTCAGATTAGCAACATGTTCACATTTCAAGTTTTTGAACATGGTAGTTAATTGAGAGAATACAACCCTATATATGCCAGAGAAAAGGTCATTTCAAGTTTTTGAACATGGTAGTTAATTGAGAGAATACAACCCTATATATGACAGAGAAAAGGTCATTTTAAGTTTTTGAACATGGTAGTTAATTGAGAGAATACAACCCTATACATGACAGAGAAAAGGTCATTTCAAGTTTTTGAACATGGTAGTAATTGAGAGAATACAACACTATATATGACAGAGAAAAGGTCATTTCAGGTTTTTGAACATGGTAGTTAATTGAGAGAATACAACCCTATATATGACAGAGAAAAGGTCATTTCAAGTTTTTGAACATGGTGGTTAATTGAGAGAATACAACCCTATATATGACAGAGAAAAGGTCATTTCAAGTTTTTGAACATGGTAGTTAATTGAGAGAATACAACCCTATACATGACAGAGAAAAGGTCATTTCAAGTTTTTGAACATGGTAGTTAATTGAGAGAATACAACCTTATATATGACTGAGAAAGGGTCATTTCAAGTTTTTGAACATGATACTAGTTAATTGAGAGAATACAAACAACGATCATATCATTCATATCGTTCAGATGTTCATATTAAACGATGTTCGGATGACACAGCTGTTCAGATATATGTACTTCAAAAATAATTTTCTAAAATATATAACAAGGAAAACCTGAAAATTGATAATAAGGGTACTTCGGAAAATAGAGATGCATTTTAAATTGTGCTTTTTTGAAAAGCTAGG